ATCAGTCACAGCTGCTTTGCGTTCAGCCCTTCTCTCTGCTCTGCGTAACTTTATGCGTTCCCAGACTCTCTCTTCCACGTGGCTCCGGGAAGATTTATTTCTCAGCCATTTCTCAATGTCTACAGAGCTTTCTAGCTGAGAAATGAATCGCTTCCTCTCCTGGATCCAAGCCGACAGCTTATCTGGATCATCTTCAGGATGAGAAATGGCCACTGGAAAGGTGGGACTTCCTTTCTCCTGCCTTCCTTCTGCAGCTGGCACTTGTGGGAGAGGTCTAAAAAAACAACAAACAGACCAAGGGGAGTCGGTCTGAGTGCAGGAGGAATTTCTTCTCCATCCAGCCCTCTTCCTCAGCAGGATGAGGTCTCTTCACCCAACTGTCTTCCCACCAGCAGATGGGGGATAACAGCACTGAGCTGTAATGCTCAGATGTGCCACCAAGGGAACGAGGGTTTTCTCTAAGGAAAGTTCAGGACACACAGCTCTTTGTCCCTCTTGATGGAATGAGGAACTGTGCCTTGTGCAATGACTGGCCATGCTGGCATCCCCCTTCCTGGCCTGATGTGGTCTCAAATACTGCATTACTTAGTGAAGGAAAAGGGGTCGTTACTGCCAAAGGCAGAAAAGATGGGCTAGAGCCATGAAGCCTGTTCTTGTCCTCAGCATTACCAACAAAGAGGCTTTTCAGGAACTAAAGGAAGCATGAAGAAGCACCGCAGACAGATGCTGCTCTGCCTCCTTGGGACACGTTGATTGGAATGCTGCTTTGCTGAAAGAGCAGCATCAGTGCCAATATCACACAGGCACAAGAGCACTCCACTCAAATCCTTGACGACTGTCACCTGTCATCAGGCTCCTCTTCACTGTCGCTCTCAGCTGTGGTTAACGTGCTGAGAGAAATGGTCCTTCGTAGTCTGCGTAGCTTGCAGAGAAGAGACTCTGTAAACAGGAAAGGAGAAAGGCTCTCAGAACTGCAGGCACAGAGCTGCATAACAGCACTCTGATTTCAGGAGCTGTTCTGATCCCCAGAACTTAAGACAGCATTTGTAGTTCCCAATGCTGAACTTCCTAGAAGTTCACTCTCTCCAGCACAAACTCATAACGTGGAAGAGATGCACTGTGGGGCATGGAAGGCAGGGGGGACCCACGTCCCATCTTGTTCCAAATGTGTCTCTTGATGTTTACCAGAAGTTGTGGACAGAGGCACACGGAGTGCTGCCCCAGGCATCTCGTTGTACCACAGGCTCTAAGCAGCCACTGGGAAGGAGCACAGGGAGAGGCACAAACCTCTCAAGGATCAGTCATTAATGTTACCTTTTCTTTCAAGTAGCTTTTCCTCTGGCATTGGCATCGTAGCAAGCTGAGGAACCTCCTTGATCACAAACCTGGAAATAGGAAGAAGGTGCCGTTCTGTGAAAAGGGCTCCTTTGCCAGATCAGTGCCAAGTATCTGTACAGACTAAATTATGTGCCCTAAACAGGAGCCAGTGAACAGTGCTGGCCTCAGGAACAGCTCGGCAGCCCCTCTTGACTCAAGAAGGCATTTCAGAGGTAGTGAGATGGATGTGACTTTCACAACAAATGTGGAAATGCCACGGGCAGAGGACACGCATCATCTACTTTTGTTCCACGTTCTGAGAGATGCTTTCCATGTTGTGTTGAAAACGACAGCAATATTAGGATCTGCCTTTTGTTCAATGTTTTGGCAGTCTTGAGTGCAGAAAAGAGGTGGAGGAAACATCAGAGCATTGCCTAAATGTCTCTGCAGTGCAAACCAGTTCCCTCTGATTGGACAAATGGTAAAATGCAGGGCACAGTCAGGAACGTTAAGTCCAAGCTTAGCAAAAGCAAGGAAAAAATGAGCTGCCAAACCGTTTGAAAGAGCCAAAATATGAGCTGAAACAACCAAATGTGAGCTGAGCACATCCAAACTTGCCCAGATAAGTCCAGGGAACAAATATACTCACTCTGGCAACAGGTGGACTTGGCCAAGTGGGCTCGGCAGGAGAGCAGTTTCTTTGTCTGAGACGACCCATCTTTTCTGCAAGTGACAGAAAGACCTGATGTGACTTCAGGGAAAGAATCTCAGTGCTCACAAAGGCTTTTCTACACGTGGAAGAATTCACTGTCTCTCAGGAAACTTCTTGACGAGTGCCTCAGCCTCTTGCCAAAGCAAGCTGCATGGCACATATTCTGTTAGGATGAGGAGTGTTGCCAGCCTTACTGCAAGGACGGCGCTTAGCAGCTCAGCCAGCAGAGCAGCCACTTGTTCAGCACTGAACAAGGCAATGGAGCAAACATAATGGAAGGCCTGTCCTGAGTCCGGGTTTCTGGCTGCTGCTTTCATCATCAAACAGCTTTGGCCCCACCACTGCTTTGGCCTTTTTCCTCTTTGTGGTGAGGCTTTTCCAGGGCTATGCCCTGCCAGCAAAAATAAGACTGTGTTCATTCCCAGCACCTCTGAACTAGTGCAAATACAAGAAAGAACACAGAGACAGTTTTCACTGCTGCATGCCTAGCTCCAGTGGCCTGGCAGCTCACGGCTGGCAGCAGAGCTGGGTTCCCTGGCTTTGTACAGGATTTCAAACCCGCTGTAAGAAGTGCAGGAAAAAATCAAAACACTTACATTGAAAAGCTTTTGTACCAGGTATGTAGACGTGTTAAGATGCAGTAAAAAGTCTTCACAGAATGTCATTTCCACCTGCTCCGCTCGGATAGCAAGAGTGCCGATGTCCTTGAATGTGAAGTCTGCATCTTCTCCATTTGTTAGGATGTGGTAGAAGTACTCCAAGGTCTCCAACAGACAGCCCTGCACTGTTTGCTGAGAATAGGAGCTGTACAGGCGTATGGTCTCACAGTTCAGCTCCGCTATCTCACTGTCAGCTGGAAAAGAGGAACAAGGTGACTGAGTCACACAGCAGCTGAGCAGATCCAGATAACGCACCAGGAGCTTCTGGTTTAAGTGCACTGCCAGAGTGCTGTCTTAACCACCAAGGATTGCAAATTAGGATAAGTGAGCAAATGTATTTAAGCCAAATTTTTGCTTAATTAGTCTTACCAGGCAAGCGTATCGGAAAGTATTTGAAATCCCGGATCTGTGTAACAGCCTTGGACAGCAAAAACAGCGGTCTCTGAAACGTGAGGATCTTGCCATCCTCAAGGGCTTGCCATTTTTGAATCCAAAATGTCCCCAGTCCGGTGATGCTGACAGCCGGAGGCTGGAACAAAAAGGAGAAGGACAGAGTGAGGACTTGTGGCAGCTTGCAGAGGGGCGTCCCATGGCTTCCCCACTCCTAATGCAGAACACTGAGACGGGGGGGCTGGAAAAGACCAGGCACTTGGACACATTCTTTCCCTTTCCTTTGCTCTCCAAGCATCCCCAGCTGTGTGTGTGCTCTGCACTCTGGGAGCGAGGAACAGAGAAGCAAATTGGGAATACTTTTGGGTGCTATTATTTGCATTACTGTATTTGGCATAGGTACTGTACTTCTAACTATTTTAATATCTTCAGTGATTGAAGGAAGTGGTCTTTGGCACATCTGTGGCACATCTGTATGTGGAAGAGCAAGGGCACTTGTTGGTCTAGGGCTACCTGGACTATTGCAGCCATTGGGCAAGGGGAGGCCGTTGGGCAAGGGGAGGGGTAGGGTGCAGTCCCACCTTTTTCAGCAGGAGCAATTGCTGAACACGCTTGAAAACACTGTTCCAAATGGTAGTGACATCTGCAATGCAAGAAAAGACACAGAATGCTTTAAGTCAGCAAGTTTGTGGCCTGTTAGCACGTTTCTAAACAAGGAGATGTCAAGTGTGATCTACCACAGCTCCTGGGGTAAATTCATCCATGACATGGACTGAATTTTGGATAGACTTCGGACTAAAAGTGCTGGGAGAGGTCTACAGCTCAGGAGCAAATAGATCTCCTGAGTTGTCCCAAATGCCTTACCATTGGTGGAAAGCTTCTTGAGTGTGGGAAACGTGACTGTGCTGCAGCCATCAGTCTTGTTCCAATGCTCGATGTTAGTGATCAGCTCTAGCAGGCTGACCATGCTCTTGCTTCAGGTGGGCACGTGAAGCTAAAGAACGAAAGGTTTCTGATGTTTCCTACCAGGAAACACTTCTGATACCCTTCTCTGTCCTTCACCGAATAGCTCTCTTCTCCTTTATCCTCTGAGGTACAAGAGACTCCTTGTGTCCTCTAGAGAAAACTGGATGCGAGGGCAACTCTGCGACTGCCAGAAGGCACTGAGCCGGGCCTGAGCCAACACTGATGTAGAGGCTTCTGTCCCTTTGTGATGTCAGATGATGACACAAAGGGGAACAGGGCGTGCCATGGAACGCTGGGAGCTGGGCAGCACCCGGCCATGGGCTGCAGGCTGGAGCTGCAGCCAACAGAAATCCCCTCAGGCAGGGGCACCTCTGAGGATGGATCGAGCCACATGTTTTCCTTTGGGTGCGTTCTGGGATCAGATTATGACCTTCAGAGTGAGCAGCGTTAGGGTTTGGCCTGGTCCAGGTGATGAGGGCACACCTCATAACTCTAGGCCGCTACTAATGAAGTGCCGATTCTGATTACTGATATCCTGCACTGCTTACAAAAGTCTGCGAAATAATAAAGCCTTCATTACAGCTCCATCTGCGTGGCAGTCATTGTGTCTGCGACTCCTAAGAACCCCAGGGTCCGTCCCAGGGGGTCAGACGACACCTGAGACCCTCACGAAACGAATCGAGGGCATTTGGTCACACTCGGTGAGAAAGTAAAGACGCTGGGAAACAGCAAACCGGGCACTGGGCGCTGTGGCGCTCCTCGCTTATGCCGGGCCTGAACACGGCTGGGCCGCGTTCGTAGCCCTTAAGTGGGAGGTCCGCCACGTCTCTGGTCCCGCCCCGCTCCTCCTCGCTTGCCCGCTGTCGGTTCTCGGCCTTCCCTCCCGTCTGTCCATGGAGGGCCTGGTCCATCTGGCGTGACAGAAATCGCGCGGTGCCGTGCGTGCGCCGTCGTTATGGCAACGGCCGGAAGTGACGTTGCGGCGCCGCGCGTTGGCCGGAAATGACGCTGCGCTTCGCGCGGAGGCGGTGGAGCCGGGCCGGAGCCATGTCAGCGGGAGGCGGCGGGCAGCGCGACGCTGGGACCGCGGGCGGGTGAGGTCGGGGGCTGCGGGCGCTGCGGCGGGGAGGCCTCGGGGCGGCGGTTCCGCGGGGCGGCGGGCGCCGGGCCTCCAACGGGCGGGCGTTGAAGGCACTCCTCGATCTGCTCCGCTTGCAGGCGGCGCAGCAAATGGGATCAGCCCGGCCCGGCCCCCGCCTTCCTTCTCTCTGGCGCGGCTCCGCTGCCCGGCCGGCCTTTCCCCGGCGGCGGAGATGGCGGCACCGCTGTGGGGGTCTCCGAGAGCTCCGCGGCTCCGTCGGGGGCTCTGGATGCGGCCGCGGCTGTGGCAGCGAAGATCAACGCGATGTTAATGGCCAAAGGGAAGCTGAAGCCAGCGCCTAACGCGGCGGATAAGGTGAGAGAGGGGCGGGGGGAGCGCCGGGCCCCGGGAGGGGGTTAGGGCGATCTGCTGTTTTCTTAAGTAGCTTTCAGGAATACGTGGGAAAAGTGGAGTGGGGTGTAAGGCAACAACGGGGGAGGTTATTTATGTTTTTAGTCTGATAGGGTGGCACAGCTGTGTGTTCTGAGAGTTCCCCATTTGAAGCGGTCTGAGAGCAAGCAGTGGTTTTCTCATTGGAGTTATTTGTAGGTAACACATAAGGACACCAAATGTGCCCCACATTGCAGTCACCAGAGATGGTTCTCTGCTCTCTGTGCATGGAAAGCACTTCTTGCTGCCTTCTGACTGTGAGGTACAGCAGTGAGCGCTCCTCTGGGAGCACAGCATTGGTCAGGAATGCCAGTCCAAGTGAACGACGCTGTGGATTCCATTGGCGCAGTGTTGTTGCTCGTCTCTATGTCTGTTTCTCCTTTTGCAGAGCTCCAGTACTAATTATTACCTCAAAATCTCCTGAAAATAAACCTAATAATGTTTATCACTTGATTTTGAAGCTGTGGGGTGTTAAGTGATTAAAGTTTTCGTTTTAAAGCACTTCCTGTGAATAATTTTATGGATTTGAGGGTTCAACAGATGTAACAGGAAATTAAAATGGCTGCTCACCCAACCTGGACCTGTAGGCTGTGTTTGCTTGTTACTCGGTTTTCCAACCACCGGTCTTTGCAACACTTGTTTTTGAAGCTGCAGGCTCTGGGGAAAGGTCCGGCCACAAATAAAAGCAAAGATGACCTCGTGGTGGCAGAGGTGGAAATCAACGACGTGCCCCTCACATGCAGAAACCTCCTGACGAGGGGGCAGACCCAGGATGAGGTACGTTCAGGAGCTGGATCTGCATTCTTTGGCTTGGCAGCTCGAGGTCTGCGTCTTTGTTGAGGTTAAAAGAGCTTGTGGCAACGTGTGTTCAGCTTTCTGTTACGAAAACAGTGTTTTCTAAGGTGCTTTGTTTAGTGGTTGGTTGGTTTGTGCAGTAATGCCTCCTGTCATGAGGTGAGGCAGCACAGCCAGTGTTCTTCAGCAGCACTGTTCATTCTCTTACATTCTCGTAATAACGTTTTCTGGTCTCTTTGTAAGGCACCTTAACTTCAACTGCTTTGAAGCTGTGTATGTTCTGCTTGTTATCACTAAGCTTTTCTGTTTTCTTAATTGCTTTCAGATAAGTCGACTGAGTGGAGCTGCTGTCTCTACTCGAGGGCGGTTCATGACTGCAGAGGAGAAAGCAAAAGTGGGACCTGGGTTTGTATTTCTGCTTTCTCTGTAGCTGGGTGTTGAAGTGACGAGGTTCTCACTGTTATGTCATGGGATGTTTGATGTTTTCTCCCTAGAGATCGCCCTCTGTATCTTCATGTCCAGGGTCAGACAAGGGAGCTGGTTGACAGTAAGTGTGCCAAGCTTCTCGTGCTCCTTATTGGCAGTGTGTTCAGGCAGTTTTGTAGTACTGATGGGTTTTGTTGTGGCTGATGGGGATTTGTGCTGTAAATAATCTGTGTTGATCAGCATAATGCGAAAGCACCAGTGCTTCACTGTGAGGTTTGTGAATCCTGAAGGGGAGCAGACAGAGGGCAGTTAACAGCCATCAGTTTAATGGGGAGGTGCTCGTGTTTCTGGGGGTGGCTGAGCACTGAGATGTCCCCCAACCCCCTTTGGAGCCATGGCCATGAGCTTACCAGCAGAAATAACAACTCATCACACATCAGGATGCAGCAGCAGAGCAGCTTCTCACAAGGAAGTTCCTTCTGCATGCAGAAGCTGAATGCGTTTTGCTCATGTTCCCAAGCTAACCATAGAGCTGCCCACCTGTATTTACCTCCTACAGCCAGCAGTTCTTCTTACCTTGCTCATTCATGCAGTTGTGAATTCAGTGCAGGGTTAGGGATGTTTTTGTCACGTTTGCTTCCCCGTTGGGCATGAGGACGTCTCTTAGTGCTGGCACGGTGCGCCGCATCTGCTGTGTTTACCAAAAGATGAATATCTGTGTATCCTATCAGCACAGATGATTTTGTGGGGAGCGCTGGGGGCTGTTAGGAACTTCCCACTGCTGAAATACAAGTGGATTTCATATCCTGTTCACTAGGAGCTGTTAATCGTATTAAGGAGATAATTACTAATGGAGTAGTGAAGGCTGCCACAGGTTCCAGTCCAACATTCAATGGAGCTACAGTGACTGTGTACCACCAGCCAGCCCCCATCGCTCAGATGTCTCCAGCAGTTGGTCAGAAGCCTCCATTCCAGTCAGGGGTGAGTGATTGGTTCGTGACTTTAATTAGTTAATTACAAGTATGCATGTCACGTGCTGCTTATGGAGAGAAATAAATGCTTCTGGGGCCGTGGTGGGAACTGGAGGACTGGTCAGACTGAGTCTGAAGGGTGAGGCTCAGGTGACAGTGATCTCCTAGAAGAAAAGGGATGGAGAGAGCAGTCCTATGGAGAGGAAGGCAAAGGGCCCACTGTGCCATCCAACACTGAGCGTTCTGACTTGACTTCTGGCCTCTGGTGAAAGCAACATCCTCATCCTAAGAGTGAAACAATCAGCTTTCACTTCTACATTCACAGATGCATTACGTTCAGGACAAATTATTCGTCGGTCTGGAGCATGCTGTACCTACATTTAATGTGAAGGAGAAGGTGGAAGGGCCCGGCTGCTCCTATCTGCAGCACATTCAGATTGAAACAGGTGCCAAAGTCTTCCTTCGTGGAAAAGGCTCGGGTTGCATCGAGCCAGCATCAGGCAGAGAAGCTTTTGAACCCATGTACATCTACATCAGGTATGCTGAGGCTCCCTAAAACTCAAACGTCTGGCAGCAGGTTGCTGTGAAGGAAGAGCTGCCCAGGTCAGTATAAATGTTTGTGCTTATGGATTTTTCTGTTTGTTTTCAGTCATCCAAAGCCAGAAGGTTTGGCAGCTGCTAAAAAGCTGTGTGAAAATCTGTTGCAAACCGTGAGTAGCTCTTATGAGTTTCAGAGTTGATATTGCTTTAGCTTTAAACAATGTCCAGAGGCACACAGTCTCTTTCTCCTAAAGAGATTCTTATGGTTGGCACCAGAAGAATGTTCTTGATCTCTCAAACATGTGAAATTCATTTCTCAGTCTTTTTAACTTGAATGCAGCAAAGCAGAGTACTGAAAAGAGAGTAAACTCCTGTCAGACAGAGCCTTTCTGCAGCCCATATCCAAGGACAAATATTGACAGATACGTCTGGGAGCTTTTAGATGCTTTAAGTGTTTTGTTTTTAACAAAGCAGCTCCCTTGCCATGCTGAATATCCTCTGAAAGGCTTTCCTGCATTTTACACAACTGTGACTCAGGCCAGCAGGATGAGTGGTTTGTTCCACTTTTCTTTTGTTTTGGTAGGTTTTGCTTTGAATTCCTGATCTTTTTTCAGCTTTCATGTTTGGATTCTTGCCGTGCCTTTGTGTGCAGCGTGTTCTGCAGTCAAAGTTCCCTTGTGGTTTTATGAGCAGGCAGCTGCCCTTTGCCTGCGAGATTGCGGTGTAGGAATCGGATGCTCACTTTCTCACCTCTGAACGTCCTTTGCAGGTCCATGCTGAATACTCCCGGTTTGTGAATCAGATAACGACAGCTGTACCTTTGGCAGGTAACGTTGGCAAGACTGAAACCTTTGGTGTTGTGTTTTGTGGAGCTGGGTTTGGCAGAAGGCCTTTGTGGAAGTCTTTGTGTTTTGCTCCTTGTGTCGAAAGCAGCCGTGTTTCCTTTACGCTTTGTAATTCGTTCACTGCTTTCGTGACTCTTGGCTGCATTTACGATGGCCCTTTTTTCCTCCTCTTCTCTCTGCAGGCTTTGCACAGCCTGCTGCTATCAACAGCGTTCCTTCTCAGCCGTCATATTACCCTTCCAATGGATATCAGTCTGGTTATCCTGTCGTTCCCCCTCCCCAGCAACCGGTTCAGCCTCCATATGGTGTTCCAGGCATGGTTCCACCCGCGGTGCCAATGGCCCCAGGCGTCCTCACAACGCTTCCTGCAGGAGTTCCACCTGTGCCGACGCAGTACCCAATATCTCAAGTTCAGCCTCCAGCCAGCACTGGGCAGGTACTGCTGAGATGAAGGATTTGCCTCGTAGCTGTCGGCTTCCTCAGCTGTTTCTTTGCTAACAATGACGTACTTGAAGCCCTTCCAGATGGGGAACAACTTGGGGCACACAGAGCCGATATCTGAGGTTGTTGCTTTGATGCTTTTGGCCAAGCAACTTATTTTTTTTTGTATGACAATTTCAGGCTGCGTTTCTTTTCGTGCTGCACCCTGCTAACATGAGGGGTGATGCAGGGAGGTGTCACCCATTGATGCAAAATGTTACTGTAGGCATTGCGGGTGCAGGGAGCCTGAGCTGCAGGCAGTGATTACTTAGAGCTGGGAGCATTCTGCAATGCAGGTACTTGTCTTCTAAATTATGCACTTCCTTTTCACCTCTCAGGTTCGGCAAAGAGAAATTGGTTGCGTTTTTTGATCCTCTGTGTGAAACCTTATGTGGAATTGACTTGATAATATGCACATGAAGCATTATCTTCTTTGTTTTTAATTTCTGCATGCCAGAGTCCACTGAGCGCTCCTTTCCTTCCTGCTGCTGCCCCGGTCAAAACAAGCCTGCCAGCTGGTACACAGCCACAAGTCCAGGCCCATCCCCAAGGCCAAAAGAGGCGTTTCACCGAGGAGCTGCCCGATGAGAGGGAGTCAGGACTGCTGGGATATCAGGTGGAATAAAATCAGCAATTTTACTTCATTCGACAAAATGGAACTTGGCTGGAGAGAGGGATGGTTGTTAGCAAAGTCTGTTTGTGAAAATTCAGACAGGCCCTCGGGCAGGCAGCAGTGATGGTTGCAAACATTGAGACCACGCTTCCATTTCTTTGAGCCGATGCTCTGCTCTCAGGCTGGGCTGTCCGGGGTGTTGGCAGCTTGCTTTCCATGCCTGTGTTCTTTCCTGAAGAGCAGCAGTGCATTCAGGTCGAAGAGATGGCAGCAGCGTGTGCCTGGTTAGGTGAAAGTGAGATGATTTGTTATTGGCTTTTTTTTTTTAATCCCTATTTGTTTTATTGTGGGTCTTTTGGATGGGCTTCTGTAGAGGGAGGGGAGGTGGGTGTAATGTCTGTGTTTTCCCATTCCCCTTTCTTGCAGGCAGCGCTTGGGAGGATTTCTAGAATCCCAGTGTTGAAAGTGACTGTTGGTTCATTTTAGACAGCAAAAGTTGCTGAGTTTATGTTAAATAACGGAGCTTTTCATCAGGCTTCTATGTGAGAAATTGCAGGTTCTGCAAATGCTCATAGGCAGAACTCATTAATAAAAGCTTGGTCTGGAGAAAATAAAGATCTGCTTAAGCATCAGATCTTGTTAACGTGTGTCAAGCACAGTTTACTGTGGCATGAGGCCTCTAAGTACTCAGAATGAGCTGATTAGAGGTAATGAGTCAAACCAGGAATAAACAGCTGTCATCACTGTCCTGCAGAACGGGGATGGTGGACGGGGTGCTGGAGTGGCTTCCACAGCAGAGTCAGGAAGGTTTTTACAACTTCACCCTCAGTATTTGTAGGAAAAAAGAAAAAAAAAGCATTGTACTGAACAGAGGTGATTAGTGGCTGCTCCTAATAGTTGGCAATATGCTCTGAAAAGTTGGGTTTCCTATCAGTATCATTAAGGAGCTGTAGCTTGTGTTGTAGTGGTAGATTTGCTAATGCCGTGTGTTTTTCTGCTCATAGCATGGACCCATTCATATGACTAATTTAGGTACAGGCTTCTCCAGTCAGAGCGAAATCGATGGAGCCGGGTCGAAGTCAGCAAGTTCCTCAGGAAAGGAGAGAGAGAGGGACAGGTATGGGACGAGCCCTGCGCTGCCTGCTGGCTCCTCTGTTCCTTTCTGTCCTTCTTAAGGGGCGCAGAGCCCAGCTGAGAGTTAATGGCAAGGACTGCGTTTCGGATTCGGTCGCTGTTATCTTTGTGCTTGCTCTTAAGAAATAAATAGAAGGTAATGAAGGCTTGCTTGTGTTTGAACAGGCAGTTGATGCCTCCACCAGCTTTTCCTGTCACTGGGATGAAATCAGAATCTGAAGAAAGAAATGGTGTGGGGTCTTTACCAGGCAGCCATGGTGAGTGCAACGAGTGGAACCTGTTTGTCGGTGGAGTTTGCGGTGATCTTAACACTCATTTAGATTGGCGATTGTTTTTTGTGTCCTTTTTACTGCGTGCAGTAGAAGGGAGATCATTGCCCCGTTCTGAAATCAGATTGTGCTTTAATAAACGCCTCTGTGAATGGTGAGGGTGTGATGAAGGCAGGAGGGCTGAGCTTTGACCCACAGTCAGCACAATCTCCTGGGCTCGCTCTGTAACAGATGTCATGGCTTTACGTTGTGCACAGCTATCTCTAGGAGCACTGAGGAGTGTCAGTTATGGCTCAGGTGTGTATTTACAGACACGAGTTCTGTCACCCTGTCTGCAGACAGAAGCGTTGTTAGCTTTCATCCTCTCTCAGGGCTGTCACACATCGGCTGTTTGCAGCTTGGTAAAACATGGGATCGCTTTAACTCCTGGTAGTTTAGTGCCTTCCATGCCAGTCTGCAGGTACAAACCACGTTAGTTTGTCTAACCTTAGTTTTTCTGCAGTATTGCTCCCAGAGGTTGTTTCTCCTGCTAGCTTTCTTTTGAGCAAAAGTTCTACTTTTCTTTACGTGTTGATCTCTAAAACGGTGCGATTGCCATCACTTTGACCCGTTTGCTAACTTTACCTTTCTTGTGTGTTTCTTTCTTCTTTCTCTGTTCTCTTACATGGTTCTGATGGATCACATGTGCTGTTGCTGCTGCTGTTTCGTGTGGCCTTCGACCTTGGATGACCATTGGCCTTGTGACCTCAAAATGGTGTCCAACTAACGATTTACAATTAACATCTTTTTTATTAACTTGTTTTGGGGCATTTTATCTCTCTCTATTTTTATTTTTCCTTCTTGGGGGCCGGGGGGATTGTTCTGTTTTTTTTCCCCATCCCCTTCCCCCCAGATCATCAAGCAAAGAAGATGAAAACATCCGAGAAGGGCTTTGGATTGGTGGCATATGCTGGAGATTCGTCAGATGAAGAGGAGGAACACGGTGGCCATAAAAATGCAAGTACTTTTTCACAGGGGTGGAGTTTGGGATACCAGTATCCTTCCTCACAACAGCGAGCCAAACAACAGATGCCATTTTGGATGGCACCGTAAAAGCTACAGAACTGTCTTCATTCATCTCTTTATTATTATTTTTTTTTCCTCTAGCAATAATGCATGTATATTACAAAAAGAACTTTGCAAATATGCATTGTTTTTACATTTGCAGAAGCTAAAGGTTCAGTATTCCGCCTTGAAAGGGCTCCATTATTTTTAAACTCTTTATTTCTGCAGTGAATTTGTCATCTATGAAAACCATTTGAAATAGCATTTGGACAGGGCCGGTCCCTCACAGCGTGGGGGAGGTTCTGGAAAGAGAAACCTGTCCTCTGTTTCCCATTTTTCCAGGGTAACTTTAAAAAAAACAAAAAAGGAAGCTGTCAGCCACGCTGACTTCACCACCCATCTGGTGTTGTATTTTATTCAGTGCTTCTGCTGTCAGCCCGTGCTCACGGTCCCGTTAATGGTGACTGTGTGGATGCAATGTTTGGACTTTCAACAAAGGAAAGCAGCGTCCGATAGTTCAGAGAAATTTGCTGGGTTGCGTTTCTTGAAGTTGATAATTTTGCTTTTACTTTAAGCATCTCCTGTTGTAACTCCACGTTGTGTTTTCTTTGCAATGTGGTTTCTCTAACCCCACGACTTCTGGTTCCAGCCAAGTGCTTGGGGGGGTGGGGGGGGGGGTTGTTTTGTCCTTTGTGGGTTCATCCTGCTGCCGCCCCCGGCTGCCAGCTGCTCCCCCACCTCCAGCAATCCCTGCCTTCTTCATTCTGCTCAGCAGTTCGTATGGGACCTGCAGGTTCTCCAAGCTTCTCCCACTCTCTTAACTCACTTTGATTCCACCCCGTTCTGTTTCACGGTGCTCGACAAAGGAGGAGAGGCACAGAGCCGTGCCTGCAGGCGCCGCTCCCGCTGTGAAGCACGGGGAGCGGAGTGTGAATATCTTTATGGACACAAAGCACAACGTGGCGGTGGTGGCAGGGCAGGGTGCTGCACAGCTGCTGGGCTGTGGGACGCCATCAGCTCCCGGAGCAGCACTGGTAGCTCCCTGGCGCTGGGAGTGGCTGGCACCTTTGTACAAACATTGACTTTCCTACGTCTTGTAAATACTTGAGACCCGTGCTTTCGTTATAAATAAATGTATAAATGCTGTATAAACGCGCTGCCGCTCGCGGCTTTGTTGTGAGCTGCGCCTTTAATTCCCGTTTCGCAATCGGGAATGGTTCCAAGTCAGGGAGGGGCGGGGCCGATGAGGCTCGCGGTCATGTGACCATGGGGGCGTGGCTACATGGGGGCGGTCTTTCTTTGGCGCGGCCCCGCCGCCATTTTGAGGTCGCCGCCTGAGCTCGGCGCCGGGCCGCGCGGTTGCGGCGGCGTGAAACGCGTCACGGAGCGGCCTGAGGTGAGCGAGGAGCGGAGCGGCCGGGCCGCGCTGAGGGCCGTCGGGCTCACGCTGCTTTCCTCACCCTCAGAAGCGGCGGCGGTTCGATCGGCGCTGAGGAGATGGACGCCGGGGCCCGGCCGGGCGGCGCGGGGCAGCCCCGCGAGTACAAGCTGGTGATGTTGGGCGCCGGCGGCGTCGGGAAGAGCGGTGCGTGCGGGGCGGGGCGGGGCCGGGCGCTTCCCGCGCTGCGAGGGCGGAGCTCCGCGCTGTTCCCGTCGGGGCCGCGTTGCCCCGCGCTCAGCGCCGTTCCTTTTGCAGCCATGACGATGCAGTTCATCAGCCATCGCTTTCCCGAGGACCACGACCCGACCATCGGTAAGAACGGCCCGCCCCGCTCCGCCCCCCCCCGCCGGCCGATGCTTTGAAGCCGTTACCGCGTCGGTCTCCCTTTGTGTAACGCTCCCTTTGCGTGTCGGTGATTTACGGGTGTTCGCGATGGCGCTGACGATTTGTTCTCCCCGAATTGTGCTGCGAATCCAGAGGATGCTTATAAGATCCGGATACGCATCGATGATGAACCTGCCAACCTGGACATCTTGGACACAGCAGGACAGGTTGGTGAGCACCATTGAGAGCATGGAGGCTGCAAGGGCAGAGACAGAGAGAGTTCCACAGCGCCTTTCTGTTCTTCTGAACAGCCTTTAGAGCTGTCTTCATTCATCTGCGTGCTCACAGCTTCGCTCCCATGCTGTGTTTAGGCACGCAGGCAGCTCTCTTGCTTTACGTGTTTCTCTCTGTTGCTTCTCACTGCTCACACTCAGCAAGCGATGTGTAATGGCTTAAGAAATACACAGAGCCTTTAGATTGCTTTGAGACTGGGAGGTTGAGGTTGGATATGATGAGGAAGTTTTTCCCCCAGAGGGCGGTGAGGCACTGGTACAGGTTGCCCAAGGAGGCTGTGGATGCCCCAGCCCTGCAGGCATTGGAGGCCAGGCTGGATGTGGCTCTGGGCAGCCTGGGCTGTTGGCTGGGGCCTTGCACACAGCAGGGGTTGGAGCTGATGGTCACTGTGGTCCTTTGCAACCCAGGCTGTTCTGTGATTCTATGATTCCATGACTCCCTTCCTATTCCTAATGGAAATCTCCCCTCTTTTAGTTTGATAGTTTCCCTCAGTCTCCTCACAGCAGACTCTGCTAATGAGTCTGTCCCCTCCTCAATTACAGCTTCTTTAGAAACTGAAAGCCTGCTCTCAGCTCTCCATGCTGAGCAGCCCCAGCTCTCCCAGCCTGTCCTCCTAGGGAAGGTTTCATCCCTTGGATCACTCTACAAATACAAAACATGTATTTATGTTATTTCTTTACCAAGAGAAAGATGGTGTTGATCCCACAGAGTTTTTGTCTCACGTGTAAAAGGATGAGGAGGGAGATGCCAAATTTGCACAGCATTCCTCCGCCGCCGATTTTGGAATGCATCTCATGTTTCCAGTTAGAAATGGTTGTGTTTGTGTCGTGTTCTATTTGTAGGCAGAGTTCACGGCCATGAGGGACCAGTACATGAGGGCTGGAGAGGGATTTATCATCTGCTACTCCATCACAGATCGACGCAGCTTCCACGAAGTGCGTGAATTCAAGCAGCTCATCTATCGTGTGCGGCGCACCGACGACACACCTGTGGTTCTGGTGGGGAACAAATCCGACCTGACGCAGCTGAGGCAGGTGTGTGGCTCCCCAGGAGGCTCCCCTTCCTGCTTCTGCTTCAAAATGCAGGCATAGAAGAGATCAGGTTCTTCTGGGTTCACTGTAATAAGCTGAACGCGAGAGCAGTATGAATTTCAGCTGGAGTTGCTGAATAACCAAATGCATTTAACCACCGTGGGAGTGAAATCTTCCAGTTGATGCTTTGAGTTTCAGGTGCTCTTAGGCTTTTTCTGTCTTTATTTCCTGAAAAGAGGTGCTTTTAACGGAGGTACAGCGCTGCGCGTAGCAGGGGGGTTGAAACTGGATGATCATTGTGGTCCTTTTCAACCCAGGCCATTTGATGGTAACATGATAAACCACTCGCAAACGTTACAGATCAGAGGATGCAAGTCTGCTAAGAAAGGAGGTGTGATTAATAATGGGGGTAAGAATGCACAGAAAGGAAAGTGAGCTTCAGCTTAAGGGAATGGTAGCTCTTGTCTGTGGGAAACAATTTGGAGCAAAGCTTCAGAGAGACGAGGAAAACAAACTGCAGAGGTGTTTGTGTGCCTGGAGTGAGGTGGTTTTTCAGCGTGGCAGGAGAGTCACTGAGGTGGAACCCATACTGAGGTGTGGGGCAGAGCAGAGGGAGCGGGCACAGCTTCAGTGACCAGGGGAAGGAATCCCCCAAACTGACAGGAGCTCATCCTGGGGTGAGGGCTGCTGCGTCACGCAGCCAGCATTACATCCTGAGAAGGGAATTCTCTCTGAAAGGCTTTTCTTGTTTTATGAATGATCAGAGCTGCTGTGTCTGGAGGGTCGCTTACAGATGGTGACGTTGCTTGTGAAATGATGGGTGAAAGAGAAGGGGAATTGCAGAGAAAGGTGCAGACATCAGGGGAGGTGGGCAGTTCTGGAACTGGGAGGGCGCGCACGCAGCTCTCGGCTGAGCAGAACAAGAAGAGAGAAAGGAAGAACCTCTCTGGTTTTGGCTTTCTTGACAGATGTGGGTTTTTTCAGGTCTCTAAAGAAGAAGGCTCTGCTTTGGCACGAGAGTTCAACTGTCCTTTCTTTGAAACTTCTGCTGCCTACCGTTATTACATTGATGATGTGTTCCACGCTCTGGTGCGAGAGATCCGCAGGAAAGAAAAAGAAGCAGTGATGGCAATGGAAAAAAAATCCAAACCCAAAAGCAGCGTTTGGAAAAGACTGAAATCCCCCTTCAGGAGGAAGAAGGATTCGGTCACTTGAAGAGAAAGAATTCCTGTGTAAGAGAAAACCTGGGAGCAGCCACTCGTAACCAAAGCGGTTGAACGACAACATTTCAGCAGTAGGTTTAAAGACTGATGGGACTTCTGTGAGGGGGAGCATCACTTCTACCATTATTTTTGCTTAAGACGGTATTCTCTTAGTTCTGGGTATTTAATTTGAGACACAGTAACGATTTGACTTCCCTTTGCTGTCATTTTTAGATCGGATTCTCCAAATACTGCTTGTGTGTTGGTTACAGATGCTGGTGGGTTTCTGACGCTGCACTTTTAAATGTTTGGTCACTGCAGACTGGAAGCCGAGTTGTTTTAAGAGGAAAAAAGATGCTGAATTTCTACCCAGCTTAACTCAATTCATTCTGTTTCTCAGTCGTTTGCACAACAAAGTGTTGCTGCCTTCCCACCCACTCACTGCCATCACCAGAGGAGGATTTTGTTGAGGTTGTGCTGGAAAGTGCTGAGCAAAGCGTGCGACTCCACAGCCTGGGCTGCGTGCAGGTGGCAGCGAGGGGAGATGCGTGCTTTGTTCTCACGGGAAAGGATTTCTCCAGCAAAAAGTTCCCCTGAACGAGCAGTGAACCCACGGCGTGGTGGTTGGGATCCTCAGCAAGGCAGAAACAGCAAATTATTGCTCCTCTGGCAGCCGTGACCTGGCAGCAGTACGGATGTGCAGCGCCGTCCCTCCGTTCAGCATCGATGGCCTTGTTGGAGCGTTTGTAGCTGATGCTGCGGATGCTCTGCAAACTGCAGCTTTGGGTTTTCCTGACTTGTTTTTGAAGCTGTGGCTGTGATGGTGCAGCGGCGTATTTATTTACGTCGCGTTTTGTATGGTTGTCTGAAAGGAGACAGTATTACTGAGTAGGAGACTCTAACATAGTCATTTCAGATTAATCTGTGATAACTGCTTTGTAAGGAAGACTGAAAGTGAGGCGCTGGGGCCGGAGCTGATATCCCTAATGCTGGTGAGGTTCTTCAGTGCTGCCTCAAAGGTGGGATCAGCAGAAGGGAGCAGT